CGAGTGAACACACTCGTGGGCCACTAAAGCCCCATCGAGAATCTGTCTACCTATGATGAAGGCTGATTGTGTGGAGGAGATGATAGAGGGGAGAATATGTTGAAGCCTAGTGGCGAGTACTTTAGCCAGAATCTTGTAGGAGGAGTTAAGAAGGCTGATTGAGAGGAAGTCTTTTATTTCCTTGGCTCCTTCTACTTTTGGGACCAGTGTTAGGAAGGTGGCATTCAAGGCTTTATGGAGAGTTCCCTTTTGGAAAAATTCCTCAAAGAAGAGAAGGAAGTCAGAACGGAGGACTTCCCACAAAGCCTTGAAGGGGGCAATCAGAAAGCCATCGGGTTCGGGGGCCTTGTCTTTGGCTAGAGCATTGATAGCTTGTAGAATTTCTTCTTCTGTAAAGGGTCTCTCTAACCAAACAACTTAGTCTTCAGTGAGAGTTAAGAAATCAAGGGAAGACATTCTCGGTCTAGGACCTGAGGGAGCAGAATATAGGGTCTGAAAGAACTCTATGATTGCCTGCTCTATTTCGCCAGGTTGGGTAAGGTAGGTGTTGTTTACTTTGATCATCGAGATAGTATTGTCTCTTATGCGACAGTTGGCTATCTGATGAAAAAAAGCAGTATTATAGTACCCTACCTTCAACCAGAAGACTCTTGATCTTTGGAACCAGTAGATCTCTTCTTTCTTGAGAGTAGAAAGATATTCCAATTTTGACTTGGATCTGAGGTCCTGCTCTGAGGCATCTAGAGATCTTGTTTCCTCCAGAATGTCCAAATTCTTGATGGTTCCTAACAGTGAAGACTTAATGTGGGAGAAGTTACCGGGGATGGAACTACTCCATGTTTTGATGGCTGATTTAAGCAGTTGGAGTTTGGTCTGAACGATATAACGAGCTCTACCCGTAACATGGGGAGCAAAAGAATTCCACCAAGTTTGGACAAGGGTAAGTAGGGACTCTTCTTGGAGCCAATGAAGTTCAAATCTGAAGGGTTTGGGGCCCCTCGTTATTGCATTGATATCAAGCAGAATAGGACAGTGGTCCGACGTAGGTTTAGGTAGGGCCAAAGATAAAGATCTCGAAAATTTTCCTCCCAATTTACTGAAAGGAGGAATCTATCTAATTTAGATGGGATTGGTAGAGTGGTTGGACCATCTATACCGACAACCCTGTAGAATGGTTGGACTTAGGTATTACATCACAATATTGGATTTTTATATCGCCATGTGTAAGATCATACTTCAATGACAACAAAAGCGTAAAAGAGAATTTGAATGACATGAATTTTGTTAACATTGATACTAGGTTTGTGAATTTGAAAAAAGTTAAAAATATTGTTCAATGGTAGTCGCTGCCAAGTTACAATACAGTTGATAAGTGAACTTCGAGAACCTCGATCCTTATCATGGAGGACAGCGATCCCATTTAGTAAAGAATTCGCTCTTGTAAAGATATGGAGCACGCTCCCTAAAATTCAGGGATCTCGATCCTTTCACTTGACCATGTACGAACCTCGTTCCCCAAACCACTAATCTTCGAGCCTACCTTGCTCCGTGCTCCTGCTACCAATTCCAAAGCTCTTGTAGCTCCCGTTCCCGGTAACTATGGAACAAACTATCAAAAGACCTTCACTAATGTTTGTAAGATGAATTATATTCAACTCCTTTTATCTATAGCAGCTAACATGGAGTGTCGTTGCACCAACTAGATGACAAGAATGTGTTCCTTCAAAAGGATTTGCAGGAAGAAAAATATAGCTAACTTCCACCTAGATTTAGGGCTCCGGGAAATGAAGGAAAAGAGTGTAGATCGAAAAGGGCATTTATGGATTAAAGCAGTCTCCCCGAGCATGGTGTTGACAAGGTTTAGTGGTGTTGTCGAAAGAGTTGGAGATGCTCGAACTCATGCTAAGCACACTCTGTTTGTGAAACATACCAACTTCGTTACCACCGCCCTAATTGTGTATGTGGATGATATTGTTGTAACAGGAAATTGCCTTTGAGAAATTCAACAACTCAAAAGCTTTCTAATTAGGGAATTTGTGATTAAAGATTTGGCCCATTGAAGTATTTTCTTGGTATAGAAGTTGCCAAGTTGAAGAGAGGAATCTTTATCTCTCAAAGGAATTATGTGTTGGATCTTCTTAATGGAACCAGGAAGCTTAAGGCAAAACCTGTTGATACTCCCATACAACAAAATCATAAGCTCGATGACAAAAAAGGTGAAGCACTTAAAAAGTACATATTTTCTAAAGGTTGATGTGTATATTGATATATCTTTCAGTAACGTGTCCAGATATTAAATATGCTATGAGCATCATCAGTCAGTCCATGCATGCTCCTAGAACTACTCATATTGAAGCTGCTTACAGAGTTCTTAGATATTTAAAATCATCACCAAGTAAACGATTGCTGTTTGCGAAAAGTGAGCACATCCAAGTTGAGGCTTATATATGCGCAAATTGGGAGGTTGGTTGTGTTATAGACCAAAGTTCCATATCATGCTTTTGCACTCTAATTGAGGGTAACATTGTGACTTGGAGTAAAAACAATCAATTTGTAGCCCGAAAGTGCAGAAGCAAAGTACTGTTCCATGGTTTATAGTGCATGTGAATTGTTGTGTTTAAAAATCTTATTATGGGAACTTGGTTTTCCTGTGGATCAATGTCTTACTCTGATAACAAGGCCGCCATTAGTATAGCTCACAATCATGTTCCGCATATGATCGGACCAAGAATGTTGAGGTAGACCAACATTCTATTCGATAGAGAGTTGCTACCAGAGAAATTTGGCTTCCTCACGTAAAGACAAAAGATCAACTAGCAGATACTCTAACAACGATGGCTGCTAAATATCGACTATGAATTATCTTAAGCAAGCAGGGCATGATTAATATCTATGCACCATTTTGAGGGGGAGTGTTTTGAGAGTGATTATTTAAGGCTTAGTTCTAATTATTTTGTATTTAACTCTCTAAGGACTTATTTTTCCTATTTTGTATTTAACTCTCTAAGGACTTATGTTTCCTTTTCTCCACAAAAGAACATTTTTATAACGTAAATCTTTTATAACTAATCTAAATATATGAGAGGTGATGAAGCTCAATATGACCTAACATCGCACTCTCTGTTTCTTCCTCTCTCAACATCCTCTTCCTTCCTCATTCTCTCTCTTATAGAGCACTTGATTTCTTCATGTTGTTTTCTTCCTTTTTCTCCTCCTTTCATTATTTACTCCTATATTTTAAATGTTCTAGGTTATCAAAAAATGAGAACCTGCAACTTTCAACCCCTCAATGGAAGATTTCTTATCCACTTTTATAGGAAGTTCACCTCACCATTTTTTCGCTTATCCCATATTTTCCTCTCTCGTGTCACAACCCTAGCCATTCTCTTGTCTCTCTCCTTACCATGCCCATTTGTCTCTCTTTTCGCTCTCCTGCGTGAATATTGTCATTCTCTCTTTTGGAGATCTCTTCCCTCATGCTCTCTCACCTTGCAAGCCCAGCCACTGTCTCATCTCTCTCTCCCATCACCATTGCCACTCCACTTTCTTTTCTCTCTCGTTGTCATTATTCTATGTATGTGTGTGTAGAAAGCTACAAAGCCTGATCTCCATGAAGCATTGTCAGATGATTATGAAGCGCGATCTCTGTATTCGAAAACTTCCAGACAAGAAATCAAACAAGTACTCCAGAACTTCCAGAAATCAATAGTTCCAGCTTCCAATGAACTGGAACTCCCAAGTTCCAAAGAACCCCAGCTTCTAGTTACCCAATAGGCCCTAAGTTTGAATCAATTAATTAAGACCACACTCATGTGGTGCTAGTTTTGTTATCAAACTAGGTTAACATAGTTCAGTGTTGACAGGACCCACTGCTAGGACTAAAGTGAGTACTTCAAGTCCCAGACTGCCAACACGTACAAGGTACAACTGAAATGGAGCCAAAGTGGCCATGCTGTCTCAAACTGCCTTAAATAAGCCTCCCATTTTTAATATTTATGCATGCTTACCATGTGATGAGATGATAAGCTCACGGATGAGTTAATGGATTCACTTTTGCATTGGAGGTGCATGTGTCTCTCTTGCAAATAAGCTACTAAAGGTAAATCACCTACAATTGTGTAAACAATCTAGGGATATATGTGATTACCATTTATTGCATAAAACCTTTTATATAAGGTTTTCCCACCCTATAATTGCTGGTGGAAAATTGGTCAGGGACCCCAAGGGATTGGCACTCATAAAAAATTCCACTTTTTTTCCTTTTGACAAATAAAGTTGGCTCATGGAACATCATATGATGGCTTTAAAACAATTATGCTACACCCTACTGAAATGTATTACTAGTATTCAAAATTCAAAGATGGAACACTGGAAACATCTATCATGGAATTAAAGGGATGCAGACTTAGTGGTAGATAGCTTATCTAATTTGGAGGTCTCAATTCGGGTAGAATTCAAGTATTTAAAGTCAAAATAAATTGTCACTCTATAACATATTATGTGATTTTAACTTTCAAAGCTGTTGAAAATTTATGAGTTATGAAAAACAAAAAAGTGAGATTCTATACAGGAACAAAACATGCCTTGCCAATATTGCTAATTGCTAAATAAAAAGGCATGGTAAAACATGTGAAAATATTGAGGCATTCAATTTGAGGCAAAAGAGCTCTGAAGATAGGTATAAGTTCCAGAGTCAATTGACTACAGGCATGCATGCACACACACAAGCCATGAAATGATCTTCCATGGAAGCCAAATGCAAACAGTAGACGCCCACGAAATCATGTGCAGACCTAAATGTCCACACACATGCTAACACACCGTTGTTGGTAAATATATGGATGCATCTATGAGCATTTGATTCCAGTAGGATCTAGTAATCATTTCACTGAACATTTTATTTTGTTAATTACATGAAAGCGAAAACATAGAGCCGCTATCATCCAAAACAAACAGACCATGAAACAATATCGAAACAAACTAAAAGGAATGAATATTACTTATCCAGATTTGCATCGATTCGTACAGCCCAATCTCCACCATAGCCGGACCCAATTTCATGGGATTTCAGAAAGGAAGTAGATATATGCGTATCTTGATCAACCAACACCTGACAAAATCAATAGTCAAACCTCTATTAGAGATTCAAAGTCAGCTAGGAATGAAAACAGAAATGGTCCAATGATGCCTACTGCTTTAGGATAGATGAATAAGAATCTAAACAACGGATATAGGATAGATGAATAAGAATCTAAACAACGGATATTTCTCATTTTTCATAGAATCACTGAAGGAGAAGCCCCATCAACAACTACTACAAGAAAGGGTACTTCTAATACTGATGAGACTAATTTCATGCCTGTTGTCCATAATCCCGCCCATTGTGACGAAGCCATCCATAAGTGCGCAGATCATCTGAATCTTCGCAAACATGCCTTAGAAAGTATTGCCCATCCTTGAGTCCAATCCACATCAATCCAGCCATTAATGACTTCGGAGTCCTGCGAATTCAGAAGTCAATTACCACAAATACCAATCAGCATGCAGCATCCAACCCGGATCTATTTGACAATGGGCACACCAAGTTAACCACTTAATATAAAATATAATAATCCTTTAATTCATCAAAGTGAAAAAGCTTTTAAAATGAAATGGCTGCCCCATTATTCCCCTGTAAGAGATTCATACAGACACGAATACAATCTAAAAGAGTTGCACAAGAGTACAAAGAATTCAAGAACATAGGCTAACAGCAACATTACAAGTGACCAAATATATATTTAAATAATGAACTGATGAACAGTCTGCATTATTTAACATAATAATTTCATAAAATAGAAAGGCAGCAAATACAAGGAACACATACAATATGCGTTATATTATTGATACGCACAGGCGACCTTAGAAAAGTGAAGTTATAAAATTGAAAACCAATTGTTGCAATTCAAATGAACTGATTAGCTTTAAAGCAACACACTTAGATAACCAGTGATTCTACCATAGTCACTATGAAAGCCTTAAATAAATACATAAAAATTGTGAAAGCATATAACAAACTAGATGACTCCATGGAAACAATGACCATACCTTGCTCGAATCCCTAGATAAAGGTGTGGCCTGTAAGTTCCCCAATACATGCTTTCCCTATGCTCCCCTTGAAACTGAAAAATAACAATTCTCTCCATTTATGCAATCAATTCCAGATCAAACAATAAAAAACCAATTGAAATTCTAAACTCAAGAACACTATTCTGCAATACAAATGCTCACTTGAAATTGCAAAACAATCTACACTTCTCTAAGTTTATGCAACTATTTCTAGATCTAACAATCAAAAGCCCAACCAAAACTTCAAGTTATAGAAACCCACTTCAATAACCAAAATTTCCCCCCTAAAAATCCAAATTTTATCAATTACATCCATTCATGTTAGTATTTACAGACCCAAAAATCAAACGCCCCATTCAATGACCAAGTAAACCAAATGCTCACTAAAAATTGCAAAGAATTGTACAATTTTCTTGACTATGCAACCATGTCCCGTCCCAACTATCACCCAACTGAAATCCTAAATTTAAGAAAACTAGATCCATATTTTAAAAACCCAAAACTTTCCCTTTGAGACTAGAAAAACTCTGACAATTTTATCCATTTATGCAACAATTTCCAGATCCAATCACCCAACAATCTCAGAAACCCTATCGAAACCCTGATAATCAAAAACCTCATTAAAAAATTTAAAAACCTAAATGCTCACTCAATATTACAAAAAATTCAACAATTTCTTGGATATGCAACCTTGTCGAGTCCCATCTATCACCTAACTCAAATCCAAAATTTCAGAAACCAGTTTGATATTTCAAAAACAAAAATGCTCCCCTTGAAACTGCAAAACTTAAACAATTCCATCCATTTATGCAACCATTTCCAGACCCAGTCACCCAAAAACCTCATGAACACTATCAAACCTTGATATTCAAACCCAATTGGAACGAGCCTAAGAAAGGAATACAAGGATAAAACAAAATAACTAGGAAACAATTAAATAGAAAAAAGAGAATGGGCTAGAAAACCCAAGAACTCAGCAGTAAGAGGACTACCTCCTTACAAGACTCAATGTCAGCTTCTTCTTATCTCCATACCACACCCCATTACAGCAATTTATAGAACTCAATGACACCTAAACTTCACCATCAAGTCACATACTTTACTTGACCATCAAGTTGGACACTTAGTGACCGAATTCTTACATGTCAGCCTCCCAAAGAGAGCCCTGTCCACAAGGCTGAAAATGGGGGAAGCGCTCGACGAATTTGTGCCATCATTCACATGTGGCATCATCAGGTTCAATAGCTTTTCATTGGACCAGCACCTCAGTAATGGCATGGTTTTGAAATTTGCACATGCAACTGTCTAAGGTGGCGACAGGTTCCAGCTCCAATATTCCGTCATTTGAGAGTTGAGGAAGTTTGGTATGCACTATTGATCTTTGTCCCGCTACTTTCTCCAAGTATGATGTATGATGCATGAAAGACTGGGTAGATCTTGGATGATTCAGGTAGCTCTAACTTGTAAGCAACATGTCCAATGCACTCAATAAACTTATATGGCCCATAAATTTATGAGCAAGCTTCTTAGGCCACAAACCTCCACAAAGGTCGGCAATATGATTGTAACCACAAGGAAGACCACATCTCCTATTTGGTACTCTCTTTCGGTCCACTTTTTATCTGCTTGGTTCTTCATGCAACATTACTCAGAATTTAGATTTTCCTTCAAAATTGTGTGACATGCTCTCGACTTTATAGCCTTGAATCTACAGCTTGAACACTTGTAGCCCCAGGGATATAAGACATGATAGTTGCCCATAAACAGCTTCATATCATTTTGATGGAATGGTGGTGGGTGGTAGTGTACCGCCATTCAGCCATGGGGCATCTAACCCAATTTTGGGTTGGCTCGATGCGAAACACCATCAATAGGTCTCAAAACACTAGTTGACCACATAAGCCTACTTGTAAGTTTGAGGATCGTAGGGCAAACTCATTTTCAACTGGGTATCCTGCAGCTTCAACAACTGTCACCTAAAATTACTCACAAAACCAGTTGCATCACGATCACTCACAATAGCACTTGGCATTCCAGAGCTTAAATATATGATCAAGGAAAACTTAAACAGCCACAATAACAGTAAATAGGGGGAGAGAGAGAGTAGAAGGACGAAGTAAGCATACTTACCCAACTAATCAACAACCAATTATTTGACGAACTTTCCATGAGAAATAGGAAGAGTATTCAGTGAAGTCTATTGAAATATCAGCTCATTTATGATCGAGTATAGGGAGTGACTGCAATCATCCTGGGGAGCCTGTCGTTTTGATCATTGGCGTACTTCACGTTCTGCAACAAACTGTTCAGCATCATGCTTAGTCCCGTTCCAATAGAAGGACCTCGAAACCCACTCGTATGTTTTGAAAAAAACTGAATGCCTCGCATATATTTCCAAGACGAGGTAGGGGCCAACACTACACGCCTCTGTATCGAAAAACCCTTGTCATCTATATTTGGGCTTTGCCATGACGTTAAATTTCCTTCATGAGAGATTTTATAGAATCACCCTCCCCCCACTCTTGTTTGATGGCAGCCATCTACTCAGGCTAAGGTGAAGATATAGCATTGAGAGAAACGGCTTCCTCATGGAGATGTGAAAGGGCATCTGTAAGTATGTTCTCCTTCCCCCTTTGAGAGACAGTTCATAGTCATAACCCATGAGTTTGGTGACCCATTTTTGTTGCTTAGGAGTTGAAATTCTTTGCTTCATAAGACTGTGATGATCATGTGGATAATAAAGCGTCGTCCAATTAAATACAGTCTCCATTTATTTATGGCATGGATAATAGCTAACATTTCCTTTTCATATGCCGACAATGACAAAATTTGGCCTGAAAAAGCCTTATATTGAAAGCTATTGGTTGTTCCTCTTGTATAAGCACAACAATCAGTCAAGTCCCTAAGGCCTCTCCCTCTATAATGAAATCTTTGGAGAAATTAGGTAGAGCTAATACATGTGTGGAGTTCATTGCCCTCTTCAAGGCATGAAGGGCAAATCATGGCATTAGAAAACCACTGGAAGGAATTCTTTTCTAATAAGACAAATACATGCGAACATGTTCTACTAAAATCCTTTACAAAATTTCGATAATAACTAGTAAGTTCAAGAAACCCATGCAAGATTTTCAATGTTTTAGGGAATTTACCATGCTTTCGATCTTCTGAGGATCTGCCTTGATATCGTCAGCCCCAATGATGTGACCCAGGTATCAGACTTTCTGCCTTCCAAATGAACACTTATTGTGTATGAGATAAAGTTGACGGGCCCATAGTATCCACAATGAACATCATAAGTGATCCAAGTGCTCCCTGCACGTATTGTTGTAAATTTAGAAGTCGTCAAAAAATACCAAAATAAATTTTCTCAGATAGGGTTAAAAGATCTCATTGTTCCAGCTTTAAATTATTGTTGGTGCATCGGTGAGTCCAAAGGGCATAATAAAGCACTCATAATGGCCTTCATGGGTCATAGATCATGGGAAATTTGTCCTTAATCTAAACATTATTTAAGGGATTGTAATCTACGAACATTCTCCATTGACCACTCTTTTCACATACCATGAGAATAGGCAAGAAGTAAGGACTACTGCTAGGACAAATGATACTTGCTTCCATCATTTCTTGGTCAAGCTTTTCTAGTTGTCTTTTGAACATATAGGTACCAGTAAGTAAAATGTCGTGATCATAAGATTGCGGATGGGGTAACCCCTTGGACCCCATAAACACATCACTATATTGTTATAACAAAGACATGAACTCAGGATGCTCCGAATTTTCCACCATTACCAACAATGAGAATAATTGTGCTACTATTCCTTGAGACCCCTTGCACACGAATTTCTCCATGCGACATGAACTAATGATCTTTGTTGGCCAGCATGAACCACCTTTAGGGTATATTGATGCTCATTGATTTTGAACTGCATCCACAATTCAAAGAAAACCCATATAATTAGTCGCATTATTCTAAGCCAATGAGTTCCTAAAACCATGATGCAACTTCCCAAGGGCAAAACATACACATCGAGTTTGGTTGACAATTCCCCATGGTTATAGGTACATTTCCACATCTTCCCTTACAAGCTAGCTTGCATCCATTAGCCATCATAACCGCAATGTTTTTTTTTGAGGGAAGTTAACTAACATTTAATAACAAGTGAGTTACAACAATACTAAGAGGTCCACAAAGTATGGACCTCGATAAAAACGTGGTCCTTGAGAGGAGGACCAGAAAAAACCTGCTCTACGAAAATTAGAAAAAGGATTAGTAGAAGAGAGAAGTGAGTAGGGCTTATAGGAATGTCCAATTACAAAAGCAGACAAAAAAGGAATGCATGGTAGGGGCTTATAATTTTGCCCATTTACACACTACTTCCATTTAGTTCTGTTGCCGAGCTGCTTCTTTAACGAGTGCATCTGCTATTGCGTTTGCGGTACTCCGAGTGTGCTTCCAAGACACTTCCAAGTCCTTGCATAAGTGGTCGATCTCATCAAAAATATGGGCCAGATACCAACGTGGGTCAATTTTCCCCGATCCCCACTTGATAATGTTTTTGGCATCTCCTTCAATCTCAAGGAATCTACCACTGAAACTGTTATATTTCTTGAGTCCAATTAGGAGGGCGATGGCCTCTGCCATTTGCGAGTCCTTCGTTCCGATGTATTCATAGTAGGTTAGAAGGACTCCTCCTACATGATTTCGATACACGCCCCCTGCCGGGCCCGGGTTTCCCAATGAGCATCCATCAAAGTTGAGCTTTATATAGCCCTCTGAAGGAGGAGTCCATCGAGGGATACTTTTAACTCGGTGATGACTAAGGTTAAGGAGGTCATCCCACTCTCTCAAGAAAGAAGAGGCTGAGATACCCACGAAGGGTTTTTGTTGGGAAACCCAAAAAATAACAAAGGACGTTATTTTTTGGAATAGGGTCTGGAATGTTTTCTTTTTCCCTCAAAAGATCCTAGAGTTTCTTTCCCCCCATATGTGCCAGAGGGTAGCCATTACTGTGGCATTCCAGAGTATTTTCCCAGATTTCCTCCAACTGTCCTC